GTCAAACAAAATCATTCAAGTTACAATCCAATAATAGAGCTACACAAGTATTCACGCAAGACCATAATAGAGTTTCGAACTAATAAAAAATAAAAAAACTCGACTACCTCCCGAACCTTGAGGGACCCATAAACAAAACGTGAACTCTCCTCGTAGAGCCTATGGGATAGGAAAAATATTTCCAATTTCGACCGGCGAAAGAAAATTTAATTTGACGTTTATCGTAAAAATGGTAATCTTATGAATTTCTCCGGAAACTCACGAGGCAATTCGCCGCGTTTTTATCTGCTCCATTTCTTGTACATTCTGTGTGCTTAGTGCGAGTTTTTTAAAGTTCTCGATAGCGTAAAAGTTAGCCCAATTTCGTATGTAGTTGGAACAGCACCCCTAGCGGCAAACGTGGGCTAACGATGCCTTTCCATAGTACAAATATGAGCTAACTTTTACGCTATCGAGAACGTTAAAAAACTCGCACTAAGCACACTGATCGAATGTATGTGACTACAAACAACTTCTGGCTGGAGACCAGAAAATTGAGAACATAGCTCAGAACTCGAATGGCATTACAAGAGAATTCGTAGAACAAAGCTTTTTTTTTTTGATACATTACATTCTAATAATGTGGTGGTACTCTTCACATTGCTGGCTCATTTTAAAATCTGAACATATCGTCAATTAGCACGTTGCAATGTTTGAATCATCTGATAGAAGACCGGTCATAACATACTGTTATATTCCCATGCTGAACCCTAAACAGCTCACATCTTTGAATCGCTGACAAGACAGTGCGAGGAAATACTTAGGTGGCAAGTAGAGAGAGAGAGAGAGAGAGAGAGAGTCAAAACACCAACCAACACAAATCAAGGTAAATCAATAATTCAGTCAGTCTAATTTAATACTTTAAAAAGAGCGGATGCCATTATATTTGGGCAAGGAATATCGCGGCCGGGAAAATACAAGATTTTAAAGTAAGAAGAAGTATTGAAAAGTAATCGTGGTCTAAAATATAAGACGTCGAGTGTATTAGAATCAAACGCTGCGACCGTACCGATATTCCGATCCCGCAGGTAGATACTAAATTTGTTACTAAATACTAAATATATTCTATACTAAATTTACCTATTTAACTAATTACGTATTAATAATACACTGAAATGTTTGTTAATACATAAAAGATGCCATTTCTAAAACTAACGATAACCGATAGAATTAATATGTTTCATTCATTTTTATTTTGAGCTATTGCATAGCTTTTATCGCGGGCCTTTGAGCGCGGCGACCGAATCAAGAAATACCGTAACGAAAATAAAACCTAACACCCCCCACTCCGCCTACCATGTAGCTCGCGTTCAACACATTCACACGTTGCGCTTGTGTAGTGTTTGTGAATAAACGTGCGACGTCGCACTGGATGCGCGTCATGAAAAGTCTGCCCATCTCTCTTGCGCAGTCTAGCTGATGAGTGTGAAGGTGACAGTTAATGTTTTGCTTTTATTAATGTTTATAAATATAGCGGGGTCTTACTTTAATATTGTTTTAATATTAAATTATTATTGTCTAATTATAACTGCATAAGTTGATAAAAAATGCTATGCAATAGCTTTACCGCGGCAGTCCCCGAGTGCCACACGTGTTTTTTTTATTCACTTCACTGTAAGCGATATTAGTCAAAATTGTCTACGTTTTTTTTTTTCGGATTCCCTGCGAGACCTTTGATTTTCCTTGTTTCCTTGAATTTCAATCAAAGATTACTCGTAGTTTGCAAATAGGACTGACTGTAAATGAGATAATTGTTTTTTTTTTTGGGAAGCAAACTAATACACTACTATATTTCAGATCTATAGATTTACAATTTTACTATTTATTAGTATTTCATATAAGACCACTATGTCGCTCTGTGATAAAAAAATTACATTAAAGTACATTTTTATCGTAATTTAATTTACAATTTTAAACAGAAATTAATTTCATATTTCGTTATTTCTCTTCGATATTAATTTGACGGTGCTTTTCAAACAGCCCAAACTTCAAGTTATAAGAAGTGCACTTTCTTCGCAAATATACTTAGCTCATATGTTCTTTATTGCAACAACTAGTTTTTGGCCGCGACTCCGTCCACGTGGAATACTTACTTTGGCATAACGCTAAATTTTACTGCCCACTTCATTTACGTAGAAAGTGAAAATATTTTTGAATTGTAAAATGTTAAGGAGCTATTTAAACCCCTATTTTGAAACATTCTTTATTGGTGCTCAATGTGGTTTTCCTCAATAAATGAGCTATCTAACATTGAAAGAATTTTTCAAATCGGACCTATAGTTTTTGAGATTAGCGCTTTCAAACAAACAAACTATTCAGCTTTATAATATTAGTATAGATAAAAAAAATGAAATATAATAGAGGGCCAAGAGAGCTTCATTTACATATATGTATATATATATAAATAAATAAACGCCCTATCGTACAGCGACACCAAACTAGGACTTCCTCCTGTATAATGCAAGCTGGAATTGCATACGAGACGAGATAAATATATCCAGTCCAACGTGAAGTGAACAAAGATGGCGACTGCAGCCGGGAATCCGACACCGGCCATAATACTATTTACTGTCAAATACTGACTAAGCTGATTGAAATATATTGGATTCAAACGAATCCATCATGGTTTGATGATTATCGTTCGTTTTAAACATCCCATCATATGCATTATGTGCCCATAATGCGATCCTCGTTGCACAGCCTGGAGAAACTCATCATTCTCGGACAAATGGAGGGGAAGCGCGCTAGAGGAAGAGCGCCAGCTAGATGGGTGGACCAACTCAAGGAGGTGACTGGAGGCCAGATACAGGGAGCGGTACATATGGCGCAGAACCGGACCGAGTGGAGAAGATTGACATACAGTCACGATCCTCAGCATTGAGGGAACGACCAGAAATAATAATAATAATAAACATCCCAGTTTCTAGGGTAAGAACGTATTAATCATTATTGTGTTAGGTATTTATAAGTACATAAGACAAGTTGCGAGAGTATTACATAAATTATAATAAAGTCCGCTGTCATGTAGACTTAGTTGCTACGCATATCCGCTGACGTTGTCGATTGTAATAAATTAAATCTCAATAGTAAGTATCTTATACCTTTAAACGAGCAATTCTTATAGATATAATATAATAATATATAATCTGAATCTCGGAAACGGCTCCAACGATTTTTATAAAATTAAGTATACAGAGGATTTCGGGGGCGTTAAATCGATGTAGCTACGATTTATTTTCAGAAAATGTTGTTTTATTCATGTTTTCAATAATCAACTTTATCGATAATCAACTTTATGACTCTTCCCGACATCTATTGGTGAATAATAATACTATTAAGCAATTTCAGCAGATGGCGTTGTTAAGCCACCCGAAGCCAATGAGTGTTTGGTTTGAGGTTAGACCAAGAAAATGAATTGTTTATTTATATTATTTGTGTCTTTTTCATATAAAATATAAAAAAAATACAGAACAAAGCTCGGTCATCGTCTAGTCTGACTAAATCGCGCATATGTGAAAAACTAATCTAATTATTCCTGGAAATAGATAATAGTACCTCAGATATAATTGACCGAATTTATTTTAATAATAATTCTAAATAACTATTTAATTAACTCGGTTGTCTCCACCCATCTAGTGACGTTGCCGATCGCACCACCATTCCGTTGTGGTGGGGCGATCAGGCAATATATTCGAGCGCATCGGCCTCAGCATTCACCGATCACCGTTCTCGTCGAACCCGTCGCTTGCGACAAAGGGCTCGACGAGTAAATTAACCCTCAGACACAGCCCACTGAGTTTCTCGCCGGATCTTCTCAGTGGGTCGCGTTTCCGATCCGGTGACAGATTCTGCGAAGCACGGCTCTTGCTAGGGTTCGTGTTAGCATCGTCGTCAGGTTTGAGCCCCGTGAGCTCACCTACTAGTTAAGGTTACGCTGGAATAGCCTCTCAAGGCTACCAGCTTAGGTAGGAATAAAAATAAAGCATCCATTCTCGGCAGAGAGTTGAAAGTGTATACACGATCATTGTAAATTACTCCGTAAGTGAAAAGTGGAAATGAATACAAGTTAGTGTAAAGTAACGTATTATTTAATTCCCGCTGACCTTAGCCCATTAATCGTTGTCAGCATTGTCTATATATATATGTCGCATATATATATGTCTTCATTATTTTTTGACATAGCGGGCGTATGGTGGGTAATTCGTGCAAAGAGATTGCGCAGCACGAAGCGATGGCAGTTCCGAAACATCTTCACTCTCCGAGCGATGACAACAAAATGGCAGCTGGTGCGTGGAGTATCGCACCGACCGAGCAACTGGTGGTAGGACCTCTTGTGAGTCCGCGCGAGTAGGTACCACCACCCCGCCTATTTCTGCCGTGAAGCAGTAATGCGTTTCGGTTTGAAGGGTTGGGCAGCCGTTGTAATTAACTTGAGACCTTAGAACTCATATCGCTAGGTGGGTAGTGGCATTTACGTTGAGATGTCTATGAGCTCCGGTAATCAATTAACACCAGCTGGGCTGTGAGCTCGTCCACCCATAGATGCAATAAATAAAAAAGCTTTCCACTAGTCTGGCCAAAAGTCCCACCGAACTCTAAACGATATCTTTAACGATAAACGTTTAAAAATTAGTTTTGCAAATTTTGAAGATAAAGCTTAAATTCACCACTTCACATATGTCACCACTTACAATGACGAAGTTGAGGGGTACCAATATCATCATCATCATCATAGCCAGTTACTCTTGGCAGAGCAAATGTGGTCATGTGGAATCCCTGTCTATTATAGCCTTGACAACTATTCTTAAATCCCGAACTGAGTCTTGGGACACGCACTCGTAAAGTGAGGTTTTGCTAAGTTGAGGGGTAGGTATATATTTATAACTGGACGTGTATTATTTGACATAAAAGAAAAACAAAAAAAGCTTCTTTACCGCTTTATTCGTTGATTGCAACGTCTACTAATAAGACAGCTTCTTGGAAAGCTGTCGCCGCGACGATCTCTTGTGCTTGGGGATGCTAGTCGATGCTTGGGGCTGGAGATTTGGAAATCTGTTCTAGAATGACGGAGAAATTAAGGCCATAAAATTCTAATTCGTTTTTTTTTCTAGTCTATGTCAAACGGATATCTGAGTCTTGTGACATTAATTGCAACGTTAAAGCTAGCGACCATGTGAGACATGGTTGGGTCTTGGATCGTGGTAGTGGTGAAGAATTTGGACTATTCCGTCCTGTATTCGCGCTTAAAACTCTTTCGCGTCAGCAAATATAGCAAGCCTGGCTAAAGCCCAATTCAATTCCAATATATGTATTTGCTAAGATGAGTGGACGAGCTCACAGCCCACCTGGTGTTATGTGGTTAACGGAGCCCATAAACATCTATGACGTAAATGCACCACCCACCTTGAGATATGAGTTCTAAGGTCTCAGTATAATCACGGCTGCCCCACCCTTCAAACCGAAACGCATTACTGCTTCACGGCAAAAATAGGCAGGGTGGTGGTACCTATCCGTGCGGACTCGCATGACGTCCTGGTATCAGTAAAAAAATATTTTGAATTAATAAATATAAAATAATATTGGTATGTCTGGATTTTTGTTATTTAATCGAGCAAAAAGGCAAAACGGATTTAAGTGAAATTTCGCACAAAGATATATTAAGATATGACGTGACCCGGGTCAGGCCGGGTGTATCAGTTATCCGGGTGTCAGTAATTAGGGTCTAATTTTCATTCAGATAAATACGTCGAGACATTTCTAAACAATAACTCTAAAAGTGTACTATAATAGCATATTTTGTTTTAAAATCGCTTACTTTCCAAACATCTATATTGAATTTGGATTGTTTTGTGTTTAAATTAACTGGTATTTATTATTAATACGCTTTTATTAGCTTCAGACGTATGTTAGTATGTAATGGAATCTTTGAACATGATTTTGACCCCCTTCAAAACGTCGGATTAACTCCAAATTTGGTATACTTATTAAGGACCGATGACAATTCAATACTAAAAAAAAATATTGAAAAAATGGAAATTCAACCAAACAATGAAAAATAAATAATAGTTTTAAAAAAACTAACAAAATACGCTTTTATAGAAAATCCAACTAAAAAATAGAAAAAAATATATAATAAATTTAAATTGTTGAAAGCGTGGGGTGCTTTTCAGGATATAATCAAAATAACCCTTCTACTCATGTCTGTTCATAAAATATTTATAACTACATACTGATACCATGCACCACCCCACGCTTTTTTTACAATAAAATCATTTTATTTTTATTTTTAATTCAACTTTATTAAAATTTATCTTCCATTTTTAGTTGGGTTTTCTATAAAAGCGTATTTTGATAGTTTTATTAAACTATTTATTTATTATTAAATATCGTTTTAAGCAGAGACGAGCATACGACGCACCTGTGCTAAGTTGTTGCTTGGACATCGGCAATACCAGGAGCGCAACCAGTCGCTGACTGTTGAGGACTCTCCTCAAAACTAAATAATAGTTTAAAAAACTAACAAAATACACTTTTATAGAAAATCCAACTAAAAAGTAGTTATAAACTACTATTTATTTTTAGTATTAACTAACTATAGTAACTATTATTTATTTTTAGTTGAATTTATTCGAGTTAATCCGACATTCTGAAGGGGGTCAAAATCATGTTCAAAGATTCCGTTACAAACATACATGTACGTCTGAAGCTAATAAAAGCGTATTAAAAAACTTCTCTCTCAAAGCCCACCTCAATTTTTAGTGGTTTCTGTTTTTCAACAACAAACTTCACAGGTTCCAACTAAGGCAATTCTACTAACCAGAGCCCGGGAGGTTACAAATTGTAAGTTAAATTTCTTGTCCCACCATAATAAATCAACCTAAGGACAATTTTCCTGGCTGGCTTGTCGCGCTCGTCTCGGCCATATGCGCTACCATTAATTCTCATTTATTTTATTCACGTACCGTTCCTATATACATAAATAATATCAATGTATAATAGACTTGTTTTTGCCCGCGACTCCGTTCGCGTGGAATAGTTACTTGGGCATAACGCTAAATTTAACCGCCCACTTCATTTGCGTAGAAAGTGAAAATATTTTGAAACATTCCTTATTGGTGTTCCACTTGTATTGATTGGTCTTAACGTGATGTTGTGTAGCCTATAGCCGTTGTCAATGAATGGGCTATCTAACACTGAAAGAAATTTTCAAATCGGACCAGTAGTTCCTGAGATTAGCGCGTTCAAACAAACAAACTCTTCAGCTTTATAATATTAGTATAGATTAAAGTATAGATTTAACGTCTTCAACTATATAGCGGAAGAAACATTACGAAGACACAAAAAAGACATGAGAAGTCACTGGTAGTTCCCTCTCGCTGCAAAATAGCACAATCCCAGAAATTGAAGAAACAGAGTCAAGTGGCTACAACAGATGCGATCCACTGGTACATTCTGCGAAGGACTACTCTTGCTAAGGTTAGTGTTAGCAACGTCGTTAGGTTTGAGCCCCGTGAGCTCACTTACTTGTTACGTTACGCTGACATAGCCTCTCGAGGCTATCAGCTTAGATAGCAAAATAATAATAATGAAATGAGATTTCGCGAACTTGCAAATAAAACACATAATCAACTGGCAGAAAAACCTCTTCAAATGGAAGAAATAAGACCTCTTAAAGAAATCTGCACACTTCAAAGAAATAATGAATATTAAAAGTATTAAACAATTTTCTTCATTTCACATTCTTGGCCTTCATCGAACCTTTTAGAAACTTCATACAATTTATGCTCTTTACTGCAAATTCTTTCACTAATTCACTCAAGAATGAAAGTGTTTAATTTTGACCATCATTGTCCTGCCCTTCTTCCAGTCAGTCACCTGGGATCGGCGCAACATGTTTTCTCCTTCCATACTCCTCTATCGTATACCATTTCTTCGCTCACTCCCTTCTTACCCATATCGTCTTTCACGCGATCCATCCATTTCTTCTTAGGTCTACCTCTTCCTCTATATCCTTCCACATTCATATTTAACACTCTCTTACCAACCTCATTTGTATTTTATCTCATCACATGTCCATATCATCCCAAACGTGCACTTCTCAGCTTCTCTGTCACAGGTGCCACTTTCAATGTTTAATTTTGACCGTGAGCATGAAAGATTAACTGTGCAACTTATAACTATTTCCTGTGAATCTCCAGTTCTGATTATTTACGATCGAGCTTCAAAAACGGAACTTCATGCCATGCTAGCGTCGAAGGGTATAGTGATGCATTATTAAAAATATACATACAAATAATAAAATACATAAAAAATATAGATAAATAAAACGTATCCACGCAATAAACTTCTAAACTATTAAATGTATTTCATTTTATCAGTATGATGTATGAGAAATTACAAGATTACTTAAGATTAATCAAAAAAATTGTCACAGATACTTTTTTGTATTTTTTTTTTAATTTATCATACAACGAAAGATAATTACAGTTAAAGTACTCGCACTAGTAAAAACACAGGATGCATCACACGAATAAATAATATTTTTTTAGTAGATGCGTGCGTATTCTATTTTACATAAAAATAGATACAGGCATATTTAAAAATTCTGGGCGTACGTGAAAATGAAAAATATGTATTGCATTAAAAGCGCTTCGAATCAATGAAGAGTGATTAAGCTTCAGCTAAAACACTAACTCAGGTTCGCACCAACTCAGGTTAAGCAATGCTTATATTCCCTAACAAATTGCTTAGAGAGGTTACCTCAACGGCAGACGGCGCTTGGAGGTAGCCTGAACTTGGAAGGGCGGGGGTTCAAATCGACTACCATTTTATTTTTTTGTGATTCTAAATTCCAAGGGAACAATTCTTGCTTTTCATCCCCCCAAACAAATGGCTCGTTAGCTCAGTAGTTTAGAGCGCTGATGTCCCAGGGACGACGGCTCTCCCTTTTCTGATAAAAGAAAGGGGTTGCGCAATTGAACATGCTCGTTCAGTTAGCTATCGGTCCGCGGACATCAGAGGGCGAGGGTGCAAATCCTTCACGAGCCTACATTTTTTTTGGTACTCTTTTTTTTTATTGCCCTTGTAGGCAGACGAGCATACGGCCCACCTGATGGTGAGTGGTTACCGTCGCCCATGGACTTCAGCAATGCCAGGGGCAGAGCCAAGCCGCTGCCTACCGCTTAATACTCTTTTTTTTATTGCTTAGGCCACAACGACTTCAACTTGGCTTTGGGTGGACACGGGTTAAAGAAGAATAAGAAGAAAACAAATAAAAACAATCCTTTTGTGATGTGTTCGTCGAATGGTGGTCCTGGTTACTGGTAGTAGGACCTCTTGTGAGTCCGCGCGGGTAGGTACCACCATCCTGCCTATTTCTGCCGTGAAGCAGTAATGCGTTTCGGTTTGAAGGGCGGGGCAGCCGTTGTAACTATACTTGGGACCTTAGAACTTATGTCTCAAGGTGGGTGGCGCATCTACGTTGTGGATATCTATGGGCTCCAGTAACCACTCAACACCAGGCTGTGAGCTCGTCCACCCATCTAAGCAATAAAAAAAGAATCACTCATATTAACAGTAAGTACGATTATTTTACTATAAAACAAAACACGGACGACTAAAAATAAATAATTAAACAAACACTGATAACTAAAATCGTTTAAAATCTATATATTAATACGTGAAGCAAAAACTTTGTATCCCTTTTTACGAAAATTGCGCGGACGGAGGAGTATGAAATTTTCCACACTTATAGAGAATATAGAGAAGAAGTGCACAATGCTAATATTTTTTTAAAATAATGCATAAAAGATACATTAAATCAATAAAGAAAACATTACACACACTACATACCATGTATTTGACCCTCACACGCATGCATACTAATTATTGTCAAACTTTTGTTCTTGACGTCTGTTGTCAAATTGAGAATATATTAAATATTGTTTGTCTTTGTTAATATTTTTTACAGTGTAGTCTTGGCGAAATTTGTGATTATAGAAGTATAAAATACAATCATAATAGTGTACAAACTTACAATTCCAATTAATTATAGTCG